CAAATGACCAGAATGCTCTGCACGAGACTGCCGAAAAAAAGGCTTCTATGGTGAGCTCAAGAACGGCAAGCGAGCGCAAGGTGGCCCAAAAGCGCTACAAAGACACCATTAAAGCTTCCTTGAACAGCTTTGGATTCGACCTGAAAAGCTGGGAACCCCTAGCTCAGGACCGATCTGCCTGGAGAAGAAAAGTACAGGGCGGTGCAGTCCTTTGTGAGAACAGGAGAAGCTCCTGTGCTATCTTGAAGAGGCAGCAGTGCAAATCTACCAAGGAAGAACTTGTGGCTGCACCTCAGAGCTCTACATCCTCCCTGACCTGTCCAGTGTGCCACAGATAATTCGGGCTCGGATTGGCCTGTTCAGCCATCTGCACACTCATCAAAATCCAACAAAATGACAAACGTGCCATGGTCATCATCAACTATGATGGATGAACAAGAGAGAGAGAGTAGTGTAGTGTATAGAAGTGTAGTGTGAAGTAGTGTGAAGTAGTGTATAGTTTTGTAGTGTATAATAGAACCGTGACCAAGCTACAGTCTACATTATAGACTGCCAGAACACTCACGCCGATTAAGAACCAGGCTACAGTCTACATTAGTGTTTTGTTGTTGTTTATAATTAATCTTAAAACAATTTGTATTCATTTTCATTTTTAATCTACCTGACTTTACCGAAAGAACCAAACAATATGAATTCCTGCAGTCACAAAGGTTTGAGGTAAAAATGTAATCGCCTCTATGAGGAGGGTTTCCACATAACCATAAGATCTTTTAACAAACTCCGAGACAAGAAAGCTCATCTGATCGAGTTACTCACATTTCTGAAGAGATTCTGCGACTCTAAGGTAATACCGATCTCATTTACACTGACTTCTGCTGCCGTCACATCTTCCAATGCCAAACGAATTTTGTTCAAGGCTAGCTTCACCCTGATGTCAGAGAATTAGACTGCTCCGTACTGAACTAGATCATGTAGACAAGACACTCTTGAAATCACACTTAACATTGACGGAGAAAATGTCTATATCTGATTGGGAACATGTAGGTGACATGACTGCTTCATCAGCTGCTACAATCTCAGCTAAATGTAAAGATAACCTGATTTCCCAGTTCAACCTCCTTTCCAAGAAGAAACCAGATCCACACGTTAAAAAGTGAGACGTTGACAAGGTTGTTATTAATCTGAGTAATAGCCCAATTTCCGATGGTCTAAAGTCGGTTTTGGCTAAAGGGTTGAACTTCGCAGTCACCCCCAAACACATACCAGTAGTCTACACTATGGGAACCTCATTTGCCAGAAAAAATATGATAATTGTTTTTTTACCCTTCTATCTGGCAACAAAACTGATACCTTTTTAACCAATTATCAGATTTTTACTGGCAAATGAGGTCCCCATAGTGTAGATGCTGGCCCCGAGCTCTCATACTCTGATGGTGCATTGTCTTTGAGTTGTGCGCCTTTTGGCGTCATCTGGTCCAACCCATGTGAGACTAGGCTCTAAGGAAAGCTGTCTCGGGTGTGGACCAATCAACTTCAAGGACAGTGCACATTATCAGAGTTATGTCATTTGTTTGTATTATGACTGCAGGTATTGCCGTCTATGCAAACATGACTCCTTGTAAAAAGGTGTCAGTTTTATTGCCAGATAGAAGGGTAAAAAACCAATGATCACATACCAGTAGATTACATTAATGCCCAGGTCGATGTAGGTCTTAAGGGTTTGGGAAACATCGCTGCAGACGTGACAAGATCTGAAATCGCTGCAACCCTTAAAAGCGCTAAGATACCAGTTAGCAACATCAGTAAGGATGAGCGTTATGAGTTATCTCATTTGAAAAAGAGGGATGATATCGTCATCCTCTCAGCCGACAAGGGCAATGCCATGGTCATCATGGACAAAACCGTGTACAATAACAAAATTCAGGACCTACTTAATGATGCTAGCTACACAAAAATTCAAAGAGATCCCACCAACAGCCTCGTTACAAAAACAAACAGTATCATCACTGATTCAGCTTCATTAATTGAACAGACCAAACGGTTTTCCTTAAAACCTTCTGCTGCTAGACCATCCAGATTATATGGCTTATCAAAAATCCACCTACAAACTGGCCCGATATCTGTCTGAGACCTTGCAGCCATTCACTGGTGAGAATACCTCTTCTGTACGTAACTCAGCTCACCTGGTATCGTTAATTAAAGACTTCTCACTGTCCCCAGGTGATTTGCTCGTTTGTTTCGATGTAGTTCCTTTGTTCACCAAAGTTCCTGTGCCCGATACCATTGCAGTCATTGAAGATTTGGTCCAACAAGGATTGAATGCTGATGTACCAGCCCTGGATAGAGACTGCCTCACCAATACATACGTCACTTGGAATGGAACAATTTACAAACAAGTTGAAGGTACCCCAATGGGTTCTCCCTTATCTCCGGTTGTAGCCAATATTTTCATGGAAAAATTTGAGATGGATGCCATCCAGGCATCCACTCTATGCCCGTCCTTGTGGAAGAGGTACGTGGATAAAACTTTGTCATCTGGCCACATGGCCGACCGGCTCTGAACCAATTCCTCAACCACATACATCTTTCTGTAGTGATGCATTCTTCTTTATTAATGCGTCATTTTGTAAGTCATACATTCTTATTGGGGTGCCGTGTTGGCCATTGAGATGTTAACTACCTCACTTGATATACAGGACGTCGTATGGTTCAGTCCCGATCCCGAGCCTGATTCCTGTTGTATATTTGGAGTTTGCCACATCTATCTCTCTCTCATCACCATCGCGGTGGCGAGATGTTCTCTCCCTCGTAGGGTCTACAGCAGGTCGTTGTTTCGATTCCGACCCTGACAATGCCAGCTGTGTATGTGGAGTTTGCGTGTCTCTCTCTCCCCCGTTGTCGCGTGGATTTTTCCTCGGGACCTCTGATCCCCCCCCCCACCACACACACACATTAAGAATCAACATAACCACGCGTTTAGAAAGTTATTTGGCTGTCACTGTAAATGTCCACACCGTGGTGATGATGATGATGATAAGCCACTGCGTTGAGCTGCCATCATTTCTGATAGCCAAGGTCGCTTCTGACAAAGAACCACGTCGCTCAGCGCTCAGTGTTACATTATAGTGACGTCACAGGACGAATGACGTCATGCCACTCGAGGAGCGGGGCTTGGGTATTCCCCTCCCCCCTACCGCCCACCGAGGTCAGGGTGACCACGTGTTCACTTCCATCAACACCCCCCACCAACACCACTACCATCATCATCACGACCACCACCATCATCATCACTGTCCTTATCCTCATCATCGTTATCATAACGTTATCACTCCTACCATAATCACCACTATCATCGTCACTACTACCATCATCATCACTATCATCATCACTACCATGACCATTGTCACCATCACTACTATTTCCACGATCATCATCAACACTGACATCATCATCACTACCACTACCATCATCATCACTGCAACCATCACCACCATCATCATCACTACCATCATTGTCATCATCATTTTGATCATCACTCCCATCATCAACACTACCAATATCATCACCATGATCATCACTATCACTGCCATCACCATCACTACCACCACCATCATCATCGACACGACAATCATCATCATTATCATCACTATCATCATCAACACCATTAGCATCATCAACACCACCATCATCTTCAACACGACCAACATCATCAACACCACCACTACCACCATCAACACTGCTACTACCATCATCATCAACACTACCATCATCACCATCAATACCAACATCATCAACACTGCCACCATCATCATTAACACTACAACCATCACCACCATCACTACCACCACCATCACCACCATGATCAGCATCAACACTACCATCATCACTACCACTACCATCATCATCATTACAACCTTCATCATCAACAGTACCACCGTCAACACCATCATCATCACCACCACTGCCATCATCATCATCACCACCACTACCATCATCATCATCACCACCATCACAACTCCTATCATTAACACAATCACGACCACCATCACAACCGTCACCACCAGCATTGTCACCACCACCATCGCCTCCACCATCACTCCCATCACCACCATTATCACCATCACCACCATCATCACCACCACCATCAACACCATCATCACCCCCTTCATCGTCACCACCACCACCATCATCATCATCACCATCATCTCTACAATCACCAACGTCACTACCACCGCCTCCACCATCACCACCACCATCACCTCTGCAGGCCTCTGTCTCCACTCTCCCCTCCCCCAAGCTAATTTTGGCGACTGTCAGCAGCAGCTGCAAGCGCGCGTGATGGTGGTGGTAGTGATGGTGGTGGTGATTGATGGTGGTGGTGATGGTGGTGGTGATGGTGGTTGTGGTGGTGGTGATGATGGTGGTGTTGGTGGTGGTGGTGATGATGTTAATGATCATGGTGGTGGTGATGTTAATGATGATGGTGGTGGTGATGCTGTTGGGGAGCAGTAGTGTAGCGGATAGCGCTACACTGCGCAATGAACCCGGCGACCCGGGTTCGATTCCCTCTCACGGCCAACACTAGTGACGATTATCTGAATCGGTCTTGGGCCTCCCCTAGGTCGACTCAGCCTCAAATGATTACCTGGTGCGGTGTGTAAACATCGCCACTGGGGATACAAAGGCAGTCAGGCATGGTGCTGGCCACCCACTCCCTCGTGTACCGTTCCTGCCTTTATAGGTGCTTGCTAACAGCACTTGCCCATACAGTCTTAAGGCTATACGGGGATCTTTGTCTTTGCCTTTGATGATCATGGTGATGATATTAGAGTGCGTAATGATGCGCATGGCTACGATGGTGGTGATGGTGGTATTAATGATGATGGTGGTGATGGTGATGGTGGTGGGTAGGTTTGGTTGTTGGCGTGTGTGACGATAACGGGGTGAGTGGGGAGAGTGGGGAGGGTGAGTGGGGAGGGTGAGTGGGGGCAGAGATCGCGAGTTGAATCCTCGCATAGCTTCATTCCACTGCGCGCATTCACTCGTGTGCTAGATTTACACACACACAGTCACAGACTCACAGGGAGAGTCACAGACTCGCACACACAGAGAGACAGCGAGCCTCACACAGAGAGACTCACACAGAGACTCACACAGAAACTCATACAGAAGGACTCACACAGAGAGACTCCCACAGACCCGGAGACATAGAGACTCACACAGAAAGACAGACTCAAACAGAGGGACAAAGAGACACACACAGAGAGACACAGAGAGACTCAAAGAGTGTGTGAGAGAGAGAGACTCTCACACACATATAGAGTCACAGCCTCACAGAGAGAGAGACTCACACGAACTCAGAAACAGAGACTCACGCAGAGAGACGGACTCACACAGAGGGACAGAAAGACTCACACAGAGACGGACTCACACAGACTCAGAAACTCGGCAACAGCGGGACTCTAGGAGCCTGAAGGAATTGGAGACACTGCCAGAGATAGACTGGAGGAATCAGGAATTCGGGGAGTTCAAGACTTGGCTGAGAATCAGGGAGATCAAGAGGACTCAGGAACTCAAGGAGACCAGAGACTTGTGGACTCGGGCGGACCCAGGAACGGGAAAATGAGTCCAGGAGCTGCGCCTGTCTAACCCGAACTGGTTTGGAGCTGGGGGGGAAAACGTTTTTGAACAGAAAGCAGCTTGGGAACTGGATTGTAATCGTGACCCGGATCGACTGGTAACAATCAAACACGATCATGACCATGACTATCATCATCATCAGCAGCAGCATCATCACCATTGCTATCATCATCACGATGATCATCACTGTCATCATCACTATCATCATCACATCATATGACAGTCCATGTATCTCTGTGTGGCACTATTGGTCGCCGTGTGAATCCTTAGGTCTCTGTGTGTGAGTAGTTGGACCTCTGTATGTGAGTCTATGGGTCTCTATGTGAGGCTATGGGTATCTTAGTGAGTGTATGGATCTCTGTGAGTATATGGATCTCTGTGTGATGCTATGGGTCTCCGTGTGAGTGTATGGGTCTTTCTATGTGATTATATCGTCTCTGTGTGTGAGTTTATGGGTCTCTGTGTGAGTATATGGGTATATGTCTGAGTCTATGGGTCTCTGAGTGAGTCTGTGGGACTCCGGGAAACGTTGTGAGTCTATTGGTCTCCGTGTGAGTCTATGGGTCTCTGTGTGAGACTATGGGACTGTTTGTGAGTATATAGGTTTCCGTGTGAGGCTATGGGTCTCTGCGCAAGTCTGTAGGTCTGTGTGTGAGTCTATGGGTCTCTTTGTGAGTATTAATCTCTGTGTATGTCTATGGGTGTCTTTGTGAGTATATCAGTCTCTTTGTAATACCATGGACTTATATAAGAGTATCTGGGTCTCTTCGTAAGTGTATTGATATCTGCGTGAGTTGACAGGACTATGTGTAAGTCTATCGGTCTCCGTGTGAGTCTATGGGTTGCTGTGTGTGAGTCTATAGGGGATCTGTATGGATACATGGGTCTCTGTGTGAGTCTATAGGTCTCCGTGTGTGAATCTATGGGTCTCTGTACGAGTTTATGTATCTCTGTGTGAGTCCATGGGAATCTTTATGAGCATATGTTCGTCTGCGTGAGGCTAAGGATATCTTTGTCAGTATATGGATCTCGGCGTGATTCTATCGGAATGTGTGTGAGTCTATGGGTCTCTCTATGTGATAATATGGGTATGTGTGTGAGACTATGGGTCTATTTAAGTCTATGGGTCTCTCTGTGATATCCTATCGGTATGTGTGTGAGTCAATTGGTCGCTGTTTGTGAGTTTATGGGACTCGGTGTGAGTCTATTGGTATATCTGTGAGTATATTTGTGTATATTTGTCTGAGTGAGTATATACATTTCTTTCTATATTTGGGTCTCTGTGTGAATCTATGGGTATCTGCATGTCTATGGGTTTCTATATGAGTCCATGGGCTTCTGTGCGAGTCTATGGGACTCTGAGTGAGTCTACTGGTCCCTGTGTGAGTCTTTAGGACTGTGCATGTGAGTCTATGGATCTCTGTCTGTGAGTTTATGGGTCACTGTGTGTGATTATATGGGTTAGTATGTGAGTCTATCTGTCTCTGTGTGAGTCTATACGCCCCTGTGTGAGTCGATTGGTATCTTAGAGTCTATGGGCCACTGTGTGTGTCTATGGGTCTCTGTGTGAGTCTATGGATCTCCATGCGAGTTTTTGGGTCTCTATGTGAGTTTATGAGACTGTGAGTCTGCGGGTCTCTGCGTGAGTTTATCTGCCTCTTTTAAGTCTATGGCTGTCTTGGGAATATTCTATGGGTATGTCTGTGAGTTTATGGGTCGCTTTGTGTGAGTCTATGGGTCTCTGTGTATGGGTTTTTAGTGTGATTATGTGGGTTCCTGTGTGAGTCTGTGTGTCTCTATTTGAGTATTGGGGGTTTCTTCCATTCTATGGATATCCTTGTGAGTGTATGGGTGTTTGTATGCGTCTATGGGTATCTTTATGAGTATATCGGTGTCTATTGGTCTCTGTGTGAGTCTAGAGGTCTCTTTCTGTCCATGGATTTCAGTGTAAATCTATGGGTATATTTGTATTATGGGTCTCTGTATGAATCCGTGGGCCTCTCTGCGAGTCTCTGGATCTCTCTAATATTCTATTGGTTTCTTTGTGCGTCTATAAGACTCTGTGTGTGTCTATGGGTATATTTGAGCCTATGGGCTACTGTGTGGATATGGATCTCCGTGTGAGTCTGTGGATCTTTTTGTAAATCTATAGGTCTATGTATGAGTTTATGGGAATTTGTGTTACTCTATCTACCTCTGTTTAAGTAAATGGGTCTCTGTGTGAGTTTATGGGTCTTTGTGAGAGCGTATCGGTCTCTTTGTAAGTCTATGGGTCTCTATGTGATATCCTATGGGTCTGTGTTATAGTCTATGGGTCGATGTTTATGAGTCTATTTTCTCTGTGTGAGTCTAGGCGTCTGTGTTTGGGTTTTCAACGTATTCTATTGGTCTATGTGTGAGTCTGTATCTCTCTATTTGAGTATTGAAGGTTAGTACCGTGCAATTGGTATAATTGCGAGAGTATGGGTGTCTTTGTGAGTCTATGGGTCTCTTTGTGTGATTCTATGGGTCTGTATGTGAGTCTATATGTCTATATATATGAGTCAATGTGCCTCTGTGGGAGTCTATGGGTCTTTCTATGTGGTTTCATCCGTCTTTGTGCGAATCCTATGGGTCTCTTAGTGAGTATATGGATCTCTGTGTAAGTCTATGGGTCTCTGTGTGAGTATAACAGTCTCTTTGTAAGTCCATTGATCTCTATAAGTCTCTGGGTCTATTTGTAGTGTATGAATATCTGCGTGAGTCAATATGACGATGTGTGAGTCTATGGATCTCCGTGTGAGTCTATTGGTCTCCATGTGAGTCTTTGGGTCGCTGTGAGTCTATGGGTACTCGTGTGGGTCTATGGGTCTCTGTGTGAGTCTGGCTCTCATGTGTGAGTCTATGGAGCTCTGTAAGTTTATGTTTCTCCGTGTGAGTCCATAGGAATCTCTATGAGTATATATTTGTCTGCGTGAGGCTATGGATATCTGTGTAAGTATATGGATCTCTGCGTAATTATATGGGACTGTGGGTGAGTCTATGGGTCTCCGTGTGAGTCTATGGGCCTCTCTATGTGATTATATGGGTCTGTGTGTAAGTTTATGGATCTCTGTGTGAGCCTATGGGTCATCGTCAAAGTCTATGGGTCTCCGTGTGAATCTGTGTGGCTCTAGGCTACTTTGTGTGTCTAGGTGCCTCTGTGTAAGTGTGTGGTTCTCCGTATTCATCTTCCGGGCTCTGTGTGAGTCTATGGGTCTTTATGTGAGTATATTGGTCTCTTTGTAAGTCCATGGACCTTTATTCGAGTCTCTGGGTCTCTTTAAAGTGTATGGATATCTGTGTATGTCGACAGGACTATGTGTGAGTCTATGGTCACCATATGAGTATATTGGTCTCCGTGTGAGTCTATGGGTCGCTGTTTGTGAGTATATGGGTCTTTGGGTGAGCCTTTGGATCTCTGTCTATGGGTTTTCAATGTTATTCTATGGGTCCATTTGTGAATTTGTGTCTCTATTTGGGTATTTTGGGTTTGAACCATTCTATGGGTCTCTGTGTGAGTCTATTGGTATATTTGCGAGTGTTTTGGTGTATATTGGTCTCTGAGTGAGTCTATAGATTTATTTCTATCTATGGGTCACTGTGTGAATATATTGGTATCTGTGTGTCAATGGGTTTCTATATGAGTCCATGGGCCTCTGTGTGAGTCTACGGTTCTCTCTGCATGATTTTATTCGTCTGTGTGCATCTATGGGTCTTTGTGTGAGTCTATGGGACTCTGTGTGTGAGTCTATCTGTCTCTGTGTGAGTCTATTTGTATTTTAAAGTCTATGGGCCACTGTGTGAGTCTGCCGGTTTCTGCATGAGTCTATCTGCCTATTTAAGTCTATGGATGTCTCTGTAATATCCTATGGATACGTCTATGAGTGTATGGGTCCCTGTGTATGGGTTTTTAGTGTGATTGTGTGCGTCTCTGTGTGAGTATATGTGTCTCTGTTTGATTTTTAGGAGTTTGTTTCATTCTACGGATATCCTTGTGAGTGTATGGGCGCCTGTATGCGTCTATGGGTATCTTTGTGAGTATATCGGTGTCTATTGGTCTCTGTGTGAATCTAGAGGTCTCTTTCTGCCCATGGGTCTTAGTGTGAATCTATGGGTCTATTTGTATTATGGGTCTCTGTGAATCCGTGGGCCTCTGTGTAAGTCTATGGGCCTCTGTGTGAGTCTAAGGGACTGTGTGTGCGTCTGGCTCTCCGTGCCAGGCTATACATATCCGTGTAAGTCTATGGGTCTCTGTATGAGTCTATGACTCTTTGTGTGATTCTTTGAGTCTGTGTGATTATTTCAGTCTTTGTTTGAGTCTACAGATACCCTTGTGAGTCGATGTGTCTCTGTGCCAGTTTATAGGTCTCTGTGTGAGTCCATCGGTCTCATTTTGAGTCTATATATACCCCTGCTGGTCTCTGGATCTTTGTGTGGGTCTATGTGTCTCTCTGTGAGTCTATGAGTGTATGTGTGAGTCTACAGATACCCTTGTGAGTCTTTGTCTCCGTTTGAGTCTATGCTTCTCTGCACCTGATTGAATCAACGGGCCTTCGTCTTTTCGTAAACAATTTGCAGTAACACCTATCATCATTTTGACAACATAACACCACCCACCACCACCTCCTTGCTCCCGAAGTGAGTTGAGTGGAGAGAGAGAAAATAAAGGAAATAGATCAAAACAATTCAAGTTTAGTTTGGATTACAAATCAACAGCAACAGCAGCTCCAGCGATGAGCTTGGTGCTTCCTACTCCAGAAAATCATCGATAATTATCCAGAGCGCGATTATATCCGGCTTCCAACGGTTATCCGATGGGTCCAAAATTGTCTTTGGAACTGATAGGTCTACACCGGAATCTACAGTCTTCTTTGTGGTAATATCTCACTACCAGTCTTAGTAGACCAATGAAGGCTATAAGGCGAACAGTACGAAAACATATTCTTGGTTCTTTCGGTAAAGTCACGTAGAAGGGAAATAATAAAATCATAAAAATAAAACATAATAAAAATTCTTACGACGTTTCGGTCACAATGCAAGCAGGTGAAGAACAGAGCTGTCAGAAAGACAGTACGTAAACAATGCCAAGTATCAAAATCTTTATAGTTCGGGTTAAGAATTTATATATACAGTGAGGGAAAAAAGTATTTGATCCCCTGCTGATTTTGTACGTGTGCCCACTGACAAAGAAATGATCGGACTATAATTTTAATGGTAGGTTTATTTGAACAGTGAGAGACAGAATAATAACAACAAAATCCAGAAAAACGCATGTCAAAATGTTATCAATTGATTTGCATTTTAATGAGGGAAATAAGTATTTGACCCCTCTGAAAAACATGACTTAGTACTTGGTGGCAAAACCCTTGTTTTTTTTTTCTTCTTGTTTATTTCGGTAAAGTCACGTAGAAAGAAAATAATAAAATAATGAAAACTAAACATAATAAAATAATTCTCAAGACGTTTCGGCCACAACGCAAGCAGCCGTCTTCAGGTGACGAATGAAATACCACCAAGCTTGGAGCGTATATTTAAGCTGGGTTGGTGGGAGAAAAGCGCCTTGACAAAGGGATTTGCATATCAATCACAGAGGTCAGACGTTTCTTGTAGTTGGCCACCAGGTTTGCACACATCTCAGGAGGGATTTTGTCCCACCACTCTTTGCAGATCTTCTCCAAGTCATTAAGGATTCGAGGCTGACGTTTGGCAACTCGAACCTTCAGCTCCCTCCACAGATTTTCTATGGGATTAAGCTCTGGAGACTGGCTAGGCCACTCCAGGACCTTAATGTGCTTCTTCTTGAGCCACTCCTTTGTTGCCTTGGCCGTGTGTTTTGGGTCATTGTCATGCTGGAATACCCATCCACGACCCATTTTCAATGCCCTGGCTGAGGGAAGGAGGTTCTCACCCAAGATTTGACGGTACATGGCCCCGTCCATCGTCCCTTTGATGCGGTGAAGTTGTCCTGTCCCCTTAGCAGAAAAACACCCCCAAAGCATAATGTTTCCACCTCCATGTTTGACGGTGGAGATGGTGTTCTTGGGGTCATAGGCAGCATTCCTCCTCCTCCAAACACGGCGAGTTGAGTTGATGCCACAGAGCTCCATTTTGGTCTCATCTGACCACAACACTTTCACCCAGTTGTCCTCTGAATCATTCAGATGTTCATTGGCAAACTTCAGACGGGCATGTATATGTGCTTTCTTGAGCAGGGGGACCTTGCGGGCGCTGCAGGATTTCAGTCCTTTACGGCGTAGTGTGTTACCAACTGTTTTCTTGGTGACTATGGTCCCAGCTGCCTTGAGATCATTGACAAAATCCTCCCGTGTAGTTCTGGGCTGATTTCTCACCGTTCTCATGAATCATTGCAACTCCACGAGGTGAGATCTTGCATGGAGCCCCAGGCCGAGGGAGATTGACAGTTCATTTGTGTTTCTTCCATTTGCGAATAATCGCACAAACTGTTGTCACCTTCTCACCAAGCTGCTTGGCGATGGTCTTGTAGCCCATTCCAGCCTTGTGTAGGTCTACAATCTTGTCCCTGACATCCTTGGAGAGCTCTTTGGTCTTGGCCATGGTGGAGAGTTTGTAATCTGATTGATTGATTGATTGCTTCTGTGAACAGGTGTCTTTTATACAGGTAACAAACTGAGATTAGGAGCACTCCCTTTAAGAGTATGCTCCTAATATCAGCTCGTTACCTGTATAAAAGACACCTGGGAGCCAAACATCTTTCTGATTGAGAGGGGGTCAAATGCTTATTTCCATCCTTAAAATGCAAATCAATTTATAACATTTTTGACATGCGTTTTTATGGATTTTGTAATTGTTATTTTGTATCTCACTGTTCAAGTAAACCTACCATTAAAATTATAGACTGATTAATTTATTTGTCAGTGGGCAAACGTACAAAATCAGCAGGGGATCAAATACTTTTTTCTCTCACTGTATAGCTCCGGTATATCTATAGGTTATAATCTAAAGATAGAGTACGTATTTGGTGTCTGAACATCAACAACGCCAAAAGGTTCAACAGAACGGAGGCAATTCATGCACATCAAAGAATCAAGCGCTCGATTCAAATGGTTATACTTCTAAATGTTTTTGTTGTTGCCGATATCAATATTAAAAAACATGTGTATTATTAGCATTGGTAGTATTTTCTTTGCCGTAAAATGAAAGGTGTAAAGCCTTATATGTTTCCCTCTTCATTTGAATATTTCAATCGGCGCCTTGTCTTGTGACGTGACGTGCAGCGGTTGAGAAAAATCTCTCGATGTAGCAACTCGGGGGATGTGGCGATGGCGATTCAGTGTTCTCATGCCTAACGCTAAAATTGCTGATGTTCTCCTCCTCCCTCCCCTCCTCTTCCATCTCCTCCTCTACCTCCTCCTCCATCTCCTCCTGTTACTGCTCCCTCCTTTTTCTTCTGATACTCCTCTGCCCTCCTCCATCTCCTCCTCGACCTCCTCCTCCTCCTGCTACTCCTGCTCCTCTTCCTCTTCCTCCCTCCCTCCCTCCATCCCCTTTGTCGGTTCCCCCCTCCAGGTCTCGACTTTTTACGTTGTGGCCTCAACAAAAATGACCTAGAGACCAATCACCTCCTTAGTCACCTACAGACCTATCACCTCCTCAGTCACATAGATATCTATCATTACTGCAGTCAACTACATAGACTTATCACTACCACCACCACCACCTCAGTCACCTAGAGGCTTGTCACCACCTCGCTCACCCACATAGCCCTACCACTGCCACCACGATGTGGCCGAACTTCTTACGGCAGGAGGACATCAGCCACCTGTCCCACCCGCAGGCACCCGGGGCACTCATGATGATCGACAAAGGTCGCGGGGTAGCGGGGGGTGTTGGGGCCAGGGGGGCAGGCGCAGCCGGGGGAGGCCGAGGGGGCAGCTCGCGTGGTGGCGGTCCCGGCCACCTCTCCGATGCGACCGAGGGCCTCGTGAAGCTGTGCGGTCTGCTGGCCCTCGTGGGCTCGACCCTGATGCTCCTCGCCGTGGGCACCGACTTCTGGGCCGTGCTGCTGGGCCCGGGATTCGTTGGCGGGGGCCACCACCACCAGCAACACGACAACCACCATCACCAACCCGACCGTCACCTCCGCCCCGACCTCCGCGCCCACGGTAACGGCACCGAAGGGGTGGGCGAGGTTTGGGACAACGGAGTGGGCGGAGCTTCTTCGAACAAAGGAAGAGTGAGCGGAGCCTCGAATGACAACAGAGGAGTGGGCGGTGCTTCGTCGTCCGAATGGGGCGAGGCCCCCGCGGGGCTGAACCCCGCGTGCGAGTTGGCCCACGTGGGACTGTGGCGAGCATGCCACACGTGGACGCGGGGTGACGGGGCCGGAGGGTGCGGTCACGTGACCTTCAGGGGAGGTAAGTGTGAGGGATTGGAGTGGAGTTGGTGGTGGTGGAAGTGGTGGTGGTGATTCTGGTGGTGATCGTGGTGGTAGTAGTTGTGGTGCTTACTCTTTTGCCTGGGTGAGTGGGTGGGTGAGTGAGTGAGTGGGTTAATGGGTGAGTGGTTGGGTGAGTGGGTGAATGCGTGAGTGGGTGGCTGGGTGAGTGGATGAGTTAATGGGTCGGTGAGTGAATGGGTGAGTGGCGGGTGAGTGGGGGAATGCGTAAGTGTGTGGCTAGGTGAGTGAGTGGGCGAGTGAGTGAATGGGTGAGTGAGTAGGCCTTAGGCACATTGTCTACTACTGGTATGGACTAACAGCTCCATGGACTTACCACTCCAGCTCGTTATCTCAATAATTCGGTGACCCTCCAGCAATCCAATCACTCCCCGCTTTACACTGCCTTTCAATCCAGCTACCGCAATTCACAAAGTCACTTTTCATATCATAGCGCCTTAACCCAGGGCACCTTACGAAGAATTAACAACGAAACAACACCAACAAGACGTGTGTACGTGTGAATGGAATGATGGGGAGCGGTGGAGTAGTAGTTGGCAGCGCTACGAACTCGGCAGAGACGCGAGTTCGATTCCCACTCATGGGCTCCAACACCAGTGACAGCGATTATACTGTGTAACATTTTGTTTTGTTTCTGGGTAGTAAGTCTTATTTCCTAATTGCGCATGCCTCAAAAGTACAGAAAATGACTATTAATCGCCACAAACTTTGCTTTTGTGTCCAAAACAGTGATATTTTGAAATTGACCTATTTTCAATGAGAAAACGTGTGCATTTGTGTCTTTCGTTCACATAAAGTCCTAAACATTGTAAGCATCGCCGCTGGGGAGACAAAGGCGGCCGGGCGTGTTTTTGGCCACCCTCATAGGTGCTCGCTAACAGCACTTGCCCCAATAGTCTGTTAAGACTACACGGGGATCTTTGTATTTGTTGAATGTAATGGTGGAGATGAGGTTAATGAAAGAGATGAGGGGAAGCAAATGCTGGGATTATGGTGGATTTGGTGAAAGCGAGATTGATGACATCAATAATTTGGAGCAGCTTATTAATGATTCCTTTCTAGCACTGCGAATTTTAAATTGCTGTTATTTTGTACTGCTTAAAACTCCCCAGCTCTCACACACCACACAACACACAATATACACGTACATACAACACGTACATACAACACGTACATACAACACGTACATACAACACGTACATACAACACGTACATACAACACGTACATACAACACGTACATACAACACGTACATACAACACGTACATACAACACGTACATACAACACGTACATACAACACGTACATACAACACGTACATACAACACGTACATACAACACGTACATACAACACGTACATACAACACGTACATACAACACGTACATACAACACGTACATACAACACGTACATACAACACAGACACAACGCAGACAACAAACACACTGAACTAAGTACTTAATTGTAAATAACCCAACCAGTAATAGACATGCATTGTTAATGCATGACTATGATAACTGTGAATAACCCAACCAGTAATAGATACCCATTGTTAATGCATGACTACGTTAACAATAACCCAACCAGTAATAGACACCCATTGTCAATGCATGCCTATATTAACTGGGAATAGCATTACCAGTAATATATTCCCAAATCTCCGTTATGTATCCTCTGAATCTTAACACACACCCACACTCTGATTTACTCTTTTTGGAGAGAAGCTACAGCAAATAAAACAATAGCGAACTTAATTCCATTTGGAAACGTTGAGATGATGTTTGCTTTTATTTGATTATATATGATATATGAGTTGTTATAAAGTACCTTGCGCATTGTAAAAAGGGGAATTAAATACATCGATTGCGTCCGTATGGAGTGCCACTGTGCTACAAACCCCCGGCGACCCGAATTCGATTTCCTCTTACGACCAATATTGTTGACGATTATCCGAACCAGTCATGGGCCTCCTCAACTAGGTCGACTCAGACTCATATGAGTCACGTGGGGCGGTGTATAAACATCACAGCTATGAAGACAAAGGCGGCCGGGCGTGGTGCTTGCCACCCATCCCCTCGTGCAGTAGCAATTGGCAGTGCAGCGGTTAGCGCATTGCGCGATGAACCTGACATAGACCCGAGTTAGATTTACGCTCACGGCTAATACCGGTGTTGATTATACGAATCGGTCAATGGCCTCCCCTATAGGTGCACTCGGACTGAAATGAGTACCATGTGGCAGTGGTGGGTAGTAAACATCGCCACTGGGGGAGAGAAAGGCAACCGGGCATGGCTCTGGCCACCCAGCCCCCTCGTGTGCCACAGTACCGGCCTTCAGGTGTGCTGCTGCTATTCGATACTAACAGCACTTGCCCCAACAGTTTGTCAAGGCTACACGGCGGGTCTGTGTCTGTGTGGACACAGAATTCAACTGCTCCTACTTCAGACACTTCTCACGCTGGGAGGAGGAGACGGGCGGATTTGACCTGACTCACGAGAGAGGTACGCACACACACATACATAAAATGATGAATCACAGACTCATAGATACTCATTGACTCACATAGAGAACCATATACTCAGGAGAGAGTTACAACAACAACAAAAACAACCGCCATTCGCCACTAAGTGGCGGTGACGTCACCATGACGCTTGTGCCAGGCTATGTGCACGTTGGGGCCACGTGAAGTGTCGAACTCCTGCTGACAGGAGGTCGTGAGGAAGACCCAGATGCCAAAGGTCGACTGACTGAGATAAGTAGCTGATGCACCACCTGTGCCGCCTACTATTCTAACTTGCTATGCTTTAGCTACCCGGTGCTCCGCTCGTTGTTGTGAGCGTCGCTCCTCCGCCCTTCGTTGTTGTTGGAGAGCGACTACCTCCAACTGCCCAGTAGCGTGCTTCACGAGCCTCCTACACAAAGGCTGATCTTGACACCGCTGGTACCAGTCATCGGCAAGTCTACTCGGCTCCACGTCCTCCTGTATCACATCATTCAATTTCTTCTCGAGCCCGTGCCGCGCCCGTTTAACCCCCTCATCTGGCCGAACAAAATCTGTTTAGGTATGCGGTGGCAGGGCATGCGAGCTACATGACCCAGCCAACGCAGCCTTGCCTGCTGGAGGAGCTCACCAATGGGACTTTGTCCAGATCTTTCAAGGATTTGTAAGCTCCTCACACAATCCAGCCTGGTTAACCCAGGATGGATGGTAGGTAGGACAGGCGAAATGTTTATAACCGTCGAAGATGTTCTATTAGAGGGGTCTATGTTTCGTAAGCAAAAAGAAGGGAGGGAATGACTGGCTGAGAAGACCTGAAACTTCGTGCGGAGCGACAGACCAGGTGGCATCCCCACAGCATTATCCAACCGATGAAAAGATATTGCCGCTCGACTGATTCGGAGTGAGACCTCTGCTGTTAAACTGGAGCCGGTCAAAAGCACACTGCCCAGGTATGGGAAACTCTCCACTCTCTCCACAACTGCCCCATCACTGATTTTGAGTTGTGGGGGTGGAGTGTCCGATGGTACAAAATACCCAGGCAGGTGCTTAGTTTTTGTGGGGCTGATGGTAAGGCCCCACCTCTTAGTGGCATGCTCCAGTCTCAGCAGCAGCATCTCAAACTCCTCCTCTGAATGAACAGCTATTACCAAATCATCGGCATACATAACGTGGTTGACCAATAGGGAGCCATCCCTTGATCGCACCCGGGCATCGATCAGCCTCCCATTATATCTGTACCAAATGGAAATTCCCCCGGTACAGCTATTGAAGGCTTCACGGACTACGTGACCAAAATATATGTTAAATAATGTGGGAGCCAGAGGACATCCCCTGTTGCACCCCAAGGTTTACAGAGAAAGGCTCTGACTCCCGGCCACGTAGTTTTACCTGGGCCCGCTCACCTTCATGAAGGTCCTTAATGATCGTGAGCAGAGGGTCAGGGACTCCGAAAGCACGAAGAACAACCCAGAGCCCAGGCCTACTGATGGTATCATAGGCCTTGACCAGGTCAATAAAGCAGAAATGTAGGTCTTGTTGGAATTCTCTACACCTCTGCTGTAGCAGACGGACAGAAAATATGGCATCTGTGCAGGACCGCCCTTTCCTGAAACCGCATTGGGGCTCCGCAAGCCTCTCCTCAGCGTACCTAGCAAGGCGATGTTGAATAATGCTTGCCAGGACCTTTCCCAGGACACTGAGGAGTGAAATGCTGTTGTATTTGTTAGTCTGTGCGGTCCCCCTTCTTAAAGAGGGAGACCATCAGGGTACGCTCACACACATATGTGAGTATTACTCACAGACTCACACAGAGAGCCACATTGCCACGCAGAGACCAATAGACTCACCACAGAGAGACCCAAAGACTTTCACAGAGACCCGCATAGAAACACATAGACCCATGGACTAATGAGAGAGGTATGCATACACATTTACATACATACAAGTATGACTCACAGACTCGCACAGAGACCCCCAACAGTATGTTAAGGCTACAATGCAGATCTTTGTCTGTGTGTGTGTCTGGGTCGTCTGCGCGTGTGTGTCGGTGCAGGGTGCAGCCTTGTTGCTGTGCTATCGGCGGTGCTCAGCCTGGCTCTGATGGGTCTAGGTGCCATGGGAGTTGGCTTCACTCTCTACAGGCAGCAGATCTCCCTGCTGCGCCCGACAGCCGTGGCTTACCTGTGCGCAGGTAACACCACCGCAGACAGCCAGCACGTGCCAGGCTAGGTGTACTGTCACTTTACACGCTCGTTTTACTACACACACGCAGCTGCAAATGCTGCACTCGATCCCTTACTCCAGACCTTTATGAACTATTTTACTTCAAACTGGAAACTTTTTAATTTAGCTATGTCGTTCTTTTCAATAGTGACCTGGCCATCACAAATTATCGCTCAACGAAGTGGGTCATCATCATCGCGTGGAAATTTATAGTTGCAGCCAAATATTCCAAACGCATGTGTATATAGACTCGTAGAGACCCATGGAGACCCATACAGCCCTTAGAGACCTATACAGCCCCATAGAGACCCCCATAGACTCATGCCAAAACTAAACTATTTTATTTTACCAGGTAAGGCCCACTGAGCTCTGTAGCTATTTTTTCAGAAGCGACCGGGTCATCACAAATGATAGCAGCTCAACTAAGTGTCGGATTATCATCATCATCGCGTGGAAATGTATATGTAATGACGACTTTACACACTTCTCTTGAGGTAGCACTTTATTGAAGACGCTTGACATCAGGCGACTATCCCACTGCACAGCCCCGAGTCTCCTGCACATCTCCCTTATATATATCAACGCGAGGCCACGCCCCCCTTCTCGATCATTCTCGATCATTCTCGTAGACTCTGGACGCTCCCTCTACCGGCAAACTCTACTGTCCTCTTCTGTCACCTGACCACGCTCCCTTCCTCGAATATTCCCGAAGCCACCAATCCATTCATACTCACAACTGATACCCCTGTCATTACCTCCCGTGGCCACTAGTCTCCTCTATTGTCATTACATATAGTTGCAGAGAAATACTCTAAACACGTGTATATCCCTCCATTCCCCCCCACCTCCCCCTCCTCCTGTCTCCCCATCTTTCCCCATCTCAACCCCCAACTCCTTCCATCTCCCTCCATCTCTCTCCCCATCTCCCTCTCCCCCCTCTTCCCCATTTCCCCTTCTACCCAACTCCCCCCCATCTCTACCCCTACCCCACCCCTAGGCTTCCTGGTCCTCCTCTCCGCTGGCCTCATGAGCAGCTGCATATCCCGCGAGGCCGCCGTGGGGGTGCTGGTGGGGGGAGGTGTGGGGGTGGATGTGGGGGACTCCCTCCCCCTCCCCTCCCTCTCCCCCTCACAGGCCCCTCCCCCACTACCCCGCTGGGGCCGCCTCTACCTGGCGTGGTCGCTCAGCAGCGCCTGGGCCTCGGCAGCCTTCAGCCTCATGGCCGGTGCCGGCTATGCTGCCATAGTCTTCCCCTGCAGGCGGAGGAGAGGAAGCATGGACGGGGTAGAGGGAGGGGCCTCCCACTAGCTCGTGTGGCCGGGAGGAAGATGGGCAGAGTGGAGAGGTGGGGCGGGGGGGAGGGGCGGGAGGGGCCGACTCCTCAGTCCTTCCAGTCACTCACCCCTTCATTCTTCCTGGAGACTTTAATCTGCAGGTTAGTCGCCCACTCATTAAATCGGCCCTCCTTCTCCTCACGAGCTCGTTTGACCTCCACCTTCTCCCCCCTACTCACACCCCTGGTAACACCCTGGACCTCGTCTTCATTTCCGGCTGCAAAACCGCCTCTATCACTACGCCCCCCCCTCCCAGCCCTCCAATCACCTCGACCTCTGCCTCTCTATTTCTCAACCTTCCCCCAACTATCCACGCTCTTATGGCGTCTCATCCCATTCTGCACTGCAATCTCTGCTCCCTTCAAACGGGCTCTATAACCGCTAGTAATCTCCTCATCTCCTTCCTCCTATTTCCGACTTATCCTCCTTGCAGCCCTGCCTTAGCTTCCTCCACACTCTCCAATTCCCTTTATTCTTCTCTCGACCTCATAGCTCCCATTCACCTCTGCTCCCTCTCATATCTAATCCTCCAGGACCTTGGCTCACTCCATTGCTTCACTCGGAGGGGCGACACCTACGTAAAGCTGGAAGGCTTTCGAAGTCTACTCCTTCACTCCAGAACCTTTAATCCTACCACTTCACTCCTTTCCCCAATTCCAAAACGCCCTAGGACTTGAGAAACAAGACTATATCCTGGCTCTCATCTCTTCCTTTCCTCCCCCCACCCCCACCTTTTCTCTACTCTCAACAACCTTCTCCAGCCTCCTACCCTAACCCAATCTTATTTTCCCTTGCCCTTTTTAGCTCTTGCGACTCTCTTCGTTCTGCCATACTATCCTCGTGTTCCCCGAGCTCACCTCAGCAGCCTTGTCCCCCACATCAAATCCATAATGACTTTGCTTTCACCAATTCCCCTGCAACCTCTATGAATGAACTCTCCTGTATCATCTCTAAGGCCCATCTACACTTCTTCTCCCCTTGATCCCATCCCTACTTCCCTTTAACCCCCGACTCCTTCCTTTAATTCTCCCCTACCAAGTGTCCCTATTCAATTCCTCCCTCTCCACCGGTGTCTTTCCTGCAATATATGGAAGTCATTGTTGTGCTGCTCAAGCAAATCCGCTCCTGAAACCTCTCCCCCATTTCCCTTCTCCCCTATTTCTCCAAACTCTTAGAACGCCTGGTCCACTCTCATCTTACCCACTACTGTATCTCCTAATTCTCTCTCTGCCCCCAATTCTAATCCGGTTTTCGTCCCTCTCACTCAACTGAAACGGCCCTTCTTTCGGTTAACTCTTGCCCATGCTGGCCTCTCTTCCATTCTTATACTCCCCGCTCTGTGCTCAGCTTTCGACACGGTTGCCCGTGCTGCTACTCTTTTCTCGACTCTCTCCCTTCTCTTTTTATCTTTGGCACACCACAGTCCTATCTCCCTCTCAGTGCGCACCTCTGCGGTCTCATTCAATCATCGCCACTTCCCCTCCCAGCCTCCCATTCACTGTCGGTGTTCCCCTTTGGTCAGTTCTTGGTCCCCGACTTTCCTCTCGCTCTCTACATCTCACCGCTTGCATCTCTCCTTTCTTCGCTGAACTTTCCCCATCATTTCGCAGGTGGCATCCACATTTTTTTCTCCTTTCCCTGACTTCGCCCCCCGCATCTCATCTCATCGGAACTGAGCTGAGCTCATCCTGCCAGGTTTCTATCCAATCTCGGATGTCAACGTCACTTTCTGTCCCTCAAACCTTCCTGCCTCCCGTTCGCCTCCTCCCTGTCCCACCATGTATTTCCCTCCCTTCTCTATGTCCCCTATTTCCTGAGCCCGCAACATTCGCGCCGTCTTTGACTCTTCCCTTTCCCTCGCTGATCACATTTCCGCCACTGCCTGCCGTGCTTTGCCAGTTTCACTTTGTCCAACGATTGCAACGTCCGACCGCTTATTGCCACCACTGCTGCAAAACTCCTCATCCATTCTCTTACCCCATACCTGCATGGACGACTGCCACTCTCTCGTACTCCGTCTGCCCATTAATCTTTTGCCCCCCCCCCCCCCCCCTTCAACAAATCCAAAAATAACTCTGCTTGGCTCAAATTCAAACGTTCCCAACAATTTTCATACCTCGACCCTCCTCGTGCAACTGCTCTAGGCTTCCTGTCTACGACCGCTGCCTGGTCAAATTCCTCACCCTGGTCGACAAATCCCTTCATGGTCTTGGCCCCCACTGTACCTTGCCACGCGCGTGTATCTTTCTCTACGTGCTGCCTACTCGCGCTCTCTACGCTCACAACCTTTGCCATCTCTCTCTGTCCCTCCTCCTCCTTGCGCTCAATCCACGCTTTCGCTCTCAGTCTCTCTTCCCCCTCCACATGAAGCGGCCACCTTCGCTCACCTAGTTTCCGCTCCTCACTCAAAACTCAATGATTGTTACCCCTAGCTCACCCCACGCCCCCCCCCCCTTAATCTCCCCCTCATATCTGCAACCGTTACTGTTCCCTCTTGATACTCTCATTATGCTGCTATCACTCATTAACCCCCATTCATTCGATCCGTTAATCATCATTTTATGCCAGATTAATAATAATTATTAGAAGGCTGTCACTCATTAACCCTATTCATTAATTCCGTTCATCATCATTCACTGTCGGAATAATAATTCTCATTATACTGCTATCACTCATTAATCCCATTCATTCATTCGATCCGTTCGTCATCATTTACAGTCATCAATTTCGCTTTCACCGATATCACGCATCAGATATTTGCCACCCATCGCTTCCTCTCATCTATTTCATTCCCGCTCATCTTCACCACGACATCAACACGCTGCACCGTTGTTAATTCTACGAAAAGCACCTTGGAGGAGCGGGGGGATGAGAGGGTGGAGGAGGGGAATGGGCTGGGGGAGGAAGGGGAGGGATCCCGCACGAGCTGGAGGGGGAGGGATGCCGGGGGTGGAGGAGTGTGTCGGGGCGGCGGGGAGGGGATTCCCATAAGCTGAAGCGGGGGGAGGACGGGGGGAGGACGGGGGGCGGGGCGGGGGGCCCCTCACGAGCTGGAGGAGGTGGATGGAGTGGGAGGAGGGAGAAGGGAGGGGCCCCGCACTCGCTGGGGGGGTGAGTCAAGAAGGGGGATGAGGGGAGGGGGATGGGGAGGGGCCTCCCACGAGCTGGAGGGGGGGGGTGGAGGAGGGGTCACCCACTCGCTGGATGGGGGAGGACCTTGCCTCCCCACTAGGGCTGAACGATTAATCGATTTCAAATCGAAATCGCAATTTGAAACAATATGATTAGCAAATCGCAAAGGCTGCGATTTTTTGCGATTTGAAAAGTTCTATTACTTTATTATTGGAACTGTTTGATTATTATTACTTTATGTATTTAACTTAACAATTGTTCTATGTTTGATTATTCTATTTCAATTTTTTTTTTTAAGAAATACATGTTGGAAGCAATTAATATATTTTAAGTTATCATCCTTGCATTAGAATATATAGAGCAATTCATATTTTAATGGTATCATGTGGTAATGCTCTATCACATGTTTTACATCTATTACACAGTGAATATTGAACTGAAGCTTGACTTTAAAAAATGTGATCGCAAATCAAATCGCAATATCTATCAGAAAAATCGCAATTAGATATTTTCCCCAAATCGTTCAGCCCTAGCCCCCACGAGCTGGAGGGGGTGGAGGGGGCAGAGTGGGATAAAGGGGATGGCCCTCGACGAGCTGAAGAGGGGTGGGGGACGAGTGGGGGGAGGGGAGGGGCGGGGTCTCCCAACTGAGCCTCAGTCAATTGTGAATCAGACTGTTGTTGTCATTTGGTTGTTGATTGTTGTTATTGATGATGTTATTATTGTTGTTGATTGTTGCTGATGCTGTTGTTGTTGATGATGTTGATGTTGATTATTGATGTGGTTTACGGTCATTGTTGTCGATGCTGTCGTTGATAATGTTGATTTTTATTGTTGACGATGATGATGATAATGTTATTATTGTTGTTCACTCCCTGGGCTGAGAGATTCAAAATAAACGAGCAGACACGACACGCGTAGTGGTGGTTCTGGTGGTGGTCGTGGTTTTTGGTTTCTGGTGGTTATGTAAGTGGTGGTGGTAGTGGTGGAAGTGATAGTGGTGGTGGTAGTGCTGGTAGTGATTCTGGTGGTGATAGTGCTCGTGGTGATAGTGATGGTGGTAGTTCTGGTGGTGATAGTGGTGCTGATAGTACTGGTGGCGGTCGTCGTAGTGGTGTTGATTAGTGCGTGCGAGGGGCTGGTAACCCCTCCAGCAAGCACCACGGTGGAAATCCCGAAATCATCTTGTTTATTACGCCTTCGGGCCAAACTTAATCTGGCAGAGCCAGACTGACCCCCCCCCCCCGCCCTCCCAGGATTCCCCCAGAAACAAGAGAATCCTGAGATTGGCCACGTGGAATGTTCGGAATCTCGTTGTGGAGGAGAGTCTACCACTCCTCTGTCGGGAGATGGATCGGTACCGCCTGGACCTTTGTGAATTCAGGAGGTCTGGAGGACCGGTTATGGCTCCAGTCACCGTGAAGGGTGGACAGTTCTCCACTCAGGGCAGGAAACTACCAAACAACAAGGAGTGGCACTTCTTTTGAACAAAATAATTAAGGTTTCTGGAAGTATACCAGTGAGGTGTGGGAAGCTGTAAGTTCCAGGCTCCATATCAACAAGAGGTGAGGAATGGTGGTTGCTGCTTACGCCCCCACCAAAGATTAAATAAGTGGAGGGATGCACACAAGGCTGATGAGTCAGACGCCTTCTATAACCTCCTGTCCCAAGTACTAGCTAAAGTGGCCAATCGGGATAGTCATCCTGTTGGGTTCCTTTAATGCCCGAGTGTGTCATGACGCAGACACATCTGGGTCGGAGTGATCCGAAGGCACGGGCCAGATCAGCTCAATAATAACGGTAGAAGGCTGCTAGACTTCTGTGCAGCCTATGGGCTTGTAATTACGAGCACGCTGTTCTGGCATTGGAACATCGACACAACATCATGGACGCACGCTGGGTCCAAGGAAGAACATCTGCTGGACTATATAATTATGGACCAGTGGATGTGGGCCCATGTCCTTGACACCAGGACCTACCGTGGAGCTGATCTGTCCACTGACCATCGACTCGTCATCTGTAAGAATCGCCTGTCATTCTTCCACTCCGGTGGTGGGTGTCCATCTAGGACCCTATTCAAACCCACAGGGGCCTGGTCTCAGCAAGCTGCGGATAGTTGCAAGCAGGAATTTCAACGTCACTTGCAGCTGGCGATGGCATCATCCCTCCATTCTCCTGATGCCGAAGAGAAATGGTGCGAGGTTTATGACTGTAGCTCATGCAGCTGCAATGGCAGCATTGGGTACACGGTCTAAACCTGAGGAGGCTCAACGTGGCCTTTGCTCGGAGATTCGGAGAGATGTGCAGCGCTGCAAGGATGAGGGGTGGGCTCAGTTACTGAGGATATGGAATCGGCCTCAGTATCCCGCAATCAAAAATCACTAATGAATTCCATCATTGGTATTGGTAGTGGGGATAGTGCTGGTGGTGGTGATAATAGTGGTAGTAGTGGTGTTATTGGTGGTGGTGATTATGGGGAGCGGCAGTGTTTAGTGATTAGCGCTACGCTGCGCATGAACCCGGCTACCCGAGTTCGATTCCCGCTCACGGCCACCAACACCAGTGATGATTGTCCGAACCGGTTCTGGGCCTCCTCTAGGACGACTCAGCCGTAAATGAGTTACCTGGTATGGTGATGTATAGTAAACATCGACAATGGGGAGACAAAGGCAACTGGACGTGGTGCTGACTACCCACCCTCCGTGTTCCACAGTGCCGGCCTTCATAGGTGTGGCTATTCACTGCTAATAGCACTTGCCCCTAGCAGTCTGTTAAGGCTACACGGGTGATCTTTGGCTTGGTATTAAACATCAGCACTAGGGGAGATAAAAAGGCGGCCGGGCGTGATAGTGCTGGCCAACCACCACCCTCCGTGTTCCACAGTGCCGGCCTTCATAGGTGTTGCCACAAACTAACATGGTCAAGGAAAAAATACTTATACGAGGACTCATCTACTTACGAACTGGAGGGGGGAGGACCTTGAAGTCCATTCATTCGTAAGTTCAACTTTACTCCTGTCGATTCCAAACATCTTGTACGACATGTACAGTAGACACGGGGAATGGATTTAAAAGATGTATAGTCTCCTGTAGATGTCGATGCCACTGGTTCTTCACGTTCTGCCGATGTAGATGCCACTGGTTCGTCATGATCTGCAGATGTAGATGCCACTGGTTCTTCATATTCTGTAGATGTACATGCCACTGGCTATTTACGTTCTGCAGATGTAGATGGCACAGGTTCTTCATGTTCTGCATTTGTAGATGCCACCACCCCCATCTATTGCGCGGCGACTCTCGGTCCGAACAGGCAACCGGACGTACGTGCAAGTTTGCTCGTATCTCTGAAAGTTCGTAATTCGAATGGTTGTAAGTGGAGAAGTTCCTGTATATGAAGTAAAATGCCAAGTGATGTAGTGACAATGCCAGGCCACTAGAGGACGCTAGAACACCAGACAGAGACAAATATCCCCAGATTTGAAGCTTTCGTGACTGCAAGGATTCATATTCTTAGGTTTTTTCGCTAAAGTCACGTAGGTAAAACATTCAAATTAATAAAAGTAAAATAAAAATAAAAATCACGACGTTTCGGAGGCAACACAAGCTTCCGTCTTCAGGTGGAACCGTCACAGCGCGACAGCTGTATCAAGTAAATGAGGGATTACAGGAGATACCACTCCGTATATATAATGGTTGAGGGGGGCAGGGCCAGGAAAGGCACACTTTTTTTTATTAATATGGTAAGGTGAGGCTTAAGACTAAGAATAGACTGCATAACAAATGACTGAGCCTTTGTTATGGAGAGGTGCGGTTTGTGACTAACGCCTAGCCTACATAACAAATGCTGCAAATGAGACCGAGCCTCTGCCATGTAGATGGTAATAGTCTACATAACAAAATACTCCATAATAAAGGCTCAGTCTTTTGTAATACTAAAAATGTAAAACTAAAACTATGTTTTATTGTACCAGGTGTAAGTCACCCATCGAGCTGTGTAGCTCTTTTTTGTCAGAAGCGACCCTGGCTATCACAAATCATAGCAGCTCAAACGACGTGGCTGATATCATAATCATCATCACGTGGGCATGTCTATCGGTAGCCAAATACCCCTCTCATGACGCGGCGATGTTAATTTCAAATTTTGGAGCATTAAAACCGGAGTACCGCGGAGAAAAAAATCCATGCGACCACGGGGAGAGAGACACTGCAAACTACAAATATACAGCAGCAGGCATCGTCAGGGTCGGGTTTGAACCCACACCCTCCCGTACACCAGGAGAGGTAGTTAACATCTTAGGAAATGTTAACTACACCCGGTGTTTTGGGAAGTGAGCCTGCAGGTGTTTCACTCAGGCTCGCTGGAGCACCTTCCCAAGCCCCCAATCCATCAAGTCAGGGTTTTCTGCGGTGGCGGAAGTCTGGAAGCGATGAAGCAGCTGCCAGGAGTGGGCTGTATCTTGAAACTCACCCCGTTTCCTCTTGGCATCAGCAGGAGGGAGCAGGTGGGTGGGGGGGGGGCAGGAGGGGGAGGCAGGAAGAGGAGGGAAGAGGAGGGAGGAGGCAAGAGCCGGGAGGAGACGGGGAGAGGAGGAGGTGGAGGAGAGAGGAGGAGGCAGGAAGGAGGAGGATAGAGGAGGGATCAGAAGGAGGGAGGAGGCAAGAGGAGGGAGGAGAGGGAGAGGAGGAGGTCTGGACTTGCTTCCCAAATACAGCCACAAAGCAGATGCAGGA